GATTAGTCGGTGTCGACCATATGGTCCCAAAGTAAGCTAAATAAATCAAACAAAGTTAAAAAATTAGCTCAGTCGGGTTATAATCCAGCAATTTCAAATGTTATATATTTATTACTAGAAATATGATTGGTATGAAAATAGATAGAAACAAACATTTCAAACTTTTTAAATTTAAATTCAATATTTATGATTACTTATAATAATAATAATAAGAAGAAGAAGAAGAAAAAATCCTAGCATTGATAAACAGGGATGTTTGTGTTTGAAAGTCGCTATTTATACTCTCGTACATCTTGCATTTATTTTATACACCAACAAAAAAAAAAATCAATTCTATAAACTTTCTATGTTATAACAACTATAGGTGTTCTAAACAGCACTAAAATGGATAAAAATTAAACTCTACGGTGACTATATAAACTTTACAGCTTTTTTTTTTCCAATGGTAAAATTAATATATCATTTGTGATTTACAGATTTATTGCTTTCCTTGATTGGCTGTACTTTATTCTGCGGACTGCAGTCTCGACTATTCAGAGATCATCACCACAGCTTGGGTTAACAAACTAAATGTTACGTCTCTGCTCGTTTGTTAGTTTCCGGTATAAATTCTTCGCGAGGAACTTCAGCGATACAAGTCTTTTCTTAAATAAAACTAGTTTATTCTTTCTCGGTACAACTTTGCAATACACAGAATTTCCATAGTCACTTTCACTTAAACACACGCTATAATTCACGCACTTTACTTACGGTCACTACCGCTCACTTGACTCAATTATCTGTCTCTATATATCTCTTCAATCTGCTATCTATTCTCTCCACTTTATTTGCCGGGCTTATATATTAAAATAGAGGGCGTCTGGCAAATACTCGAGCCTTCATGATCCTTCTAGAAACTCATCACGTGTTATCAGCGTCACTTGACTTTTGTTTTTGAGCCCCTCTAAAGTCACCATGTAGTTTAGGTATGTGAATAATAATATGGAATTGCGCCTAATTTATTATTCGGTAATATATAGCAGACTAATTAGATATGAATGATCGGCACTTGTGTATTGTCCAAAATGTAATAAATAATTAAAATCAACGTTTCATATTTACAAAGTGTACATATGAAACGTTGGTTTTAATTAGTTATTAAATTTTAGCAGACTAACTGTATGTTACAGATTTTTCTTTTTCACCAAAGCAACCAAAAAAAGAAATTTTTAATAATCTAAATAAACTCATCTAGCTGAGTTTGTAAACATTGTTTTCAGTATATCTATATTCCTGCTGCTTTTGTCGCAAATAGAGATCCTATTTGATTGCAATGCTTTACAGTTTTTTTTTTTAATCTCTCACCTCATTTACCTTGGTAAAATATTGATTGTAACACCATTTCACTGTATGTTCCACTAATGTATAAAAACTAGCGGTCAAGATTATTTTCAAGAAGTCTGTTATGGCTAATGTTTAATTTTCAAACAGGTGCACTATTTTGACATGGAACAATTTGCAATTCGTAATGATAAATTTGTTTGCTTCCATCTAGTGGCTGAACTAGCAACTATAGTGATCACGAAATTAAAAAAATTCTTGTCAGGATAAGGAATATATTATTTACAATACACTTTCCCATACTTCTTTGGCAGTTTTCGGTTCCATCATTTCTAGCTTTAGTTTTTATTTTCCAGTCAAATTTTGTCATTGTTAAATACATCTTTATGCTTTGATATTAGCTGAAGCTTCGTACAAATAATTTTCATACTTTAAATTGTTGAACTGTGCTTTTGTACAACAAACGAAGAAATAAATCATATTTCTCACATTACAGACTAAGATACGAACATGTGTAATTATGAAACCACTTATTGTGGACAAAACAATGAATATTTTATGCAAAAGAAAAATACACAAAAATTAAAGAATAATGAGTGTGACGCAAACTTCAGTTTCAGTTACTTGGTTCTTAACAGCTTGCACAATCTTTGCAAAAGTTTGTTTGTAATTAAGCACAAAGCTGTACAATGGGCTATCTGTACTTTGTCCACCACGGGTATCGAAACCCGGATTCTAGTGTTGTAAGTCCGCAGACATGCCGCTGTGCCACTGGGGGGCTTGCAAAAGTCAATACCAGTGAAAAAAAAAATCCATAAACTTAACATTATCTCAGTTGTAGACATCTTTCCTAATCAATCAAAACTAGCCTTTTGCTTTGCGGAATCTGAGTCATTTCTCATAAAGACCTATTACAAAAGGAATACAATGAAGCTTACAGTATCATTCAATTTTATATAAGTGCGACTAACCGTATACGGAAGAATAACATATCCGGGGAAGTTATTTCGTGCCGTATCCATCGGTCCTCACGAAAAAAAAAAGTACTTCTTGAGAATAATTAACATCACCTTATTCAACGTAATTTTGAATAAGGTTAACTTTATTTATGAGCGTTAGCAGTAATACAGTTTTAAAAATTATCTAAAAAAATAGTAATTGGTTGATATACAATGTGAAGACGTTTACTATTCGTGCTTACTTCTTGACATACTTTTTCTGGTACAGTAAATTTAGAGGAAGAGGATTCGGTCTTTAACTTCCGGTTTAAAAAGAGTCGCTCTATTTAGTTAAAATGAGAGGTTCTTTACTCTGCCATTTTTGTTTTGTTTTTTCTGTGTGACGTCGTGACTGTTGCTAAGTAAGGAATTAGCATATATTTCAAGAGGTCGCATGTTTATCGATAAGTGGGGGCTAGTGGAAATTAATCCTTCATGTAAACCTTTTATATAATCTATATGAAATTCGCACGAATAAAGAAAAATTATTAAAGTAATTGCGTACTTATATGTAATAGTCCTGTAAAATATTTCATTACATTTTAATTTTCTCACATAGTTTATTTCTTAATCAGAAGTGTTAAATGCATTTTACACATTTTCCCAACAAAACAAGACAAGAAACGATGATATTAGAGAGTTCGTTGTTTGTTTTTAACCACAAAGGGCTAACTGTGCTCTGCCCACCACGGGTATCGAAACCCGGTTTCTAGTGTTATAAGTCCGGAGATAATACCGCTGTGCCACTGGGAGGCGATATTAGAGGGAACAAAAAAATATATATTATGAGTTTGGGAAAGAGAAAAAAGTACTTTATACGTATATATACTAATTTTTACTTAAGGTCATTCATAAAATATAAGAGCTACTACATTTACCTATACAAAAAGTTCGGAATAAAATGTAAGCCCTTGAAAACAAATATACACTCAATAATTAGAAGAAACAAAGTGAATATATATGTTTTTTTGGGTAGTAAATTAATTTTTTTGTGTCTCCCGCAGTCAGGATTTGAACTCGAGACTACTCATATTACAAACAAATGTTCTGACAACTAAGCTAAAGGGCTAATTAAATAGAAATATTTTTCTAAACAGCTCAAACTGCCACATCCTTCCCCTCTCACAAACAAACACCATCCTCAGGTCTTATCTTAGGGACGTGGGATGACTTCCACTTGTGGTCTAGTTTTTCTGTGGTAATCCTTCCTCCCCCCCCTTTTTGTTTCAGTTTGCGACCAAACCTGAGATCTGTTGCACACCAGACGAGTGCACTACCAACTGAAATATAGAATTAATACACTAGCCCTTTTTAATTCATTTTAAAAACTCAAATACCACTACAAATATTGTGGCTGTAAGCAAACAATTTAATGTAACTATTCAGAGGTGTAGGAGGCAAACTAAAAGTGGGGGGGGGGGGCAAGGTTCATCTGACCGAGTGAAAAGAGGAAATGTTTGCTATAGGCGCACCCATTACGCCCGGTGTCCAGAGCTGGCTTTAGAGTACTAGAAACTCTTGGGTTTTGGATTAAATTTTATGCACTCTCTTGATTTTCGTGAGAGCAATTTTTCTAATTATGGTGCATTTTTACTGATTCAGATTGAAAAGTGGGGGCTCAGGTCCCCCCTCCGCTTCCTATGCCACTGCTACTTGTTCTTTTATTAATGGATTTTCATTTTAATATGCTTCAATGATTCGCAGGATCGTATATAAATTCTTTGTAATATTTTATACATGTTTGTAAAGCTAGAAAAATATATTTAATTCAATTACACCCGCTCGTCTTTACACTTTTTCGTCTTAAGTTCTGAATTCAATGTAAATTATATTTTGAATACATTAAATTTTCATGTGCTGAATTAAACTTAACTAATATGTAAATGTCAGAAGAAACGCATTGGTTAGTTCTTGAGTTTGTGTCCATTAAAAACGAAGTGCCTCCCCCCCCCCCTAGTGCACAGCGGTGTATCTGCGGACTTACAACGCTATAAACCGGGTTTTGATACCCGTGGTGAGTAGATCACAGATAGCCCATTGTGTAGCTTTGTGCTTAACTTCAAACAAATAAAAACAAAATGAAATTATACCGTTGTCATATTGTAAATGAAATATGGTCACAAACTAGGACACATACATTTCTATAATTTTTGTACTTTTATCTAATGCTGTAATTATTATGTTAAAGTAGCTTTAAATGGAAATAAATAGTTTAATTGGCCACTTCTATCAATCACATACACGCCGAACTGGGATATCAGATAATAGTATCACAATATTTGTAGACGAAAAGAAACCTACTGACTCGGATCCGGGAATGTATTAGTAATTCTAAAGCCTATGAAGGACATATGGGAAAGTGACACCACTACAGTAACAGATTGTCATTGTGAGGCAACTATCCACTGTGGTTTTTATATAGATTGATTGTACACACACACACACACACACACACACCTTATGAGTAAATGTAGGAAATGGTTCATTTAGTTACATCCTGCAGAACTGTCATGTGTTCTCAGAGTGTAGAATAAGCAGCGTAGTACAGATAATGCAGTTTGGTGTGAAATAGCAGGTCATTTCCGCTCCCTTTCTCTAGTGTCATTAATCCCCGCAGCTACGAGACTCGAACGTTTCATTTCCTGTTCTAACAGGCGCCGCGAGCCGCGTTCATTCAGTACTAGTATTAAGCTAGCAGAACAGAGCGTGGGCGGCCACTCTAGCTGCAGTCCTTAGTCTCGTTGTCTAGGTTACGAAGTGTGCGAAGGAAGATGTGCAGAAACCTGGATGGATAAGAGCTATATCTGCACTACGTTTTTTCTCGAGTTCGACCTTCTTAGCTATAGTCGTTTGTTGCTGTTGCAATGTTCGGCCATTTGTTAGTGTTTTTGACATTGTAAAACTATCAGCTGTTGTCACACTTTAAACTGAGTAACCGTAAATGGCGTAAGGATATTCGTGAAAATGTTGAAGTGTTTTCCTTTTGCTTACCATAACTTACAAGAAGATGAATATTGTCATGTGCCACTAAGAAACTCGCCATTGCGGACGTTTCGTAAGTCGAACGTTACCGTCACTTTGCCAAGGCCCAAGTCCTTACCGACTTCCCCTCAGCCCTTGCCAAACTTCAAACCCAAGAACACAAAACACATCGAAAAACAGGAGGCTCTTCGTAAAGCGAAGGGGCTGATCTCGGTACACCAGGGTCCAGAACTTGCGTATCGATATACTCGGTTCTCTGGTTCGTCGCCTCAACTTTTCGACTCATCCTGTCACAGGACCGACTCCATGAACCGCACGAAGATCCACTTGGCAGGAGACGGCAGTAATCTTACGAGTTCCTCTGATTTAAGAAGATCAGATATTGTTAGACCTAACGCTTTCCTCAACAGCCCTCCACGGTGTTGGCTTCATCCGGATCAAAAGATCAGAGATGACGGAGTATGCTACGGGATACGTGTAAGTGATAGTTTATTTTTGTTTTATGGCAAAGCCACTAAAGCTATCGGCCGCACGTGTAAGTTTATTTATATGCTGTTATTGCAGACGTTTGTCTACTGACATTTATAAAATGGAACGTGTGCGCACTAGCAAATATTTATATCGATGATTAGCCACATTCAAAATGATTAACTCACAGGTTCGATAAAGTGATATTTCAAGTATTGTTCGTACAATTTAGTTAAGTGATGGGGCTGGCATCGCTTGATGGTTAGGGTGTTCGACGCGCAATCTGCGGATCGCAGGTTCGAATCCTATCACCGAACACGCTCACCCTTTTAGCCGTAGAGGCGTTATTATGTGACGGACAATCAGCGATGGGTATTGTTGATTAGTTGCCTTTCCTCCAGTCTCTCACTTCTAAATTATAAATAGCTAGCGCAAACGGCCGTTCAATATCATTGCGCGAAATTCAACAAACAAACTTGTGTGATGTTTCTGTCACAGTGCATACACTTTTTTATTTTGTTTTTATAAATGTGTTATTGTATAAATAATTGAAACAAAACCTTTGCGAGGCAGTTTGGGGAAATGTCGCAAAACCAGTAAGATGTCAACGTTACAGACAGACTATATTGATTGTATTAGGTGTAACACACGTTTATGCAAACAATAACGTATGGTTACGACTGACATGTGCACAAACGAAGTTAAGTTAGAAAGCTTTCTGTTGACAAAGTAATCTAATTAACTGTTCATATATTGTTATTGATTACAATGTTTTTATCTGTATAGTAATATGAAAATTGTTGTAACAACTGTAATGCATTTAAAATTTAAACAAGTAGCAGGATCCTGGCAACTGTCCCTTTTTTCTCTCAAAGGTGTACTTTGATGTCTCAAGAAATCCACAAAATTCAAAAATAGTCAGTAAACTCACTGGTTTTACAAAGTAAGAGTCTGAATAAGGCATACGACTATAACAAAATGTTAAACATTCTGTAATATTCAGAAATGAGTCCATTAGACTGTGACCGTTTGACTTGTTTAAAAAATGCTTTACCAGCAATAGATATCTCTGGTAGGTTAGTTCAGTATGGTAGAACATTCGATTGGCGCGCGAAAGGTCTTGGGTTAAATCCCGAAATACCGAAATTACTACAAAAAATGACGTTCAACATTGGGCCATCCCAAAACTCTGAGATGACGCTAGAAAAGCAGTTAAATTGTTCATTATGAAATGACAAAAATTACAATGGAATACCCTTTTACCTCTTTATTTGTGTTTAAAAAAAACGAAAAATAATTAAATAGAGAAAGATATACGCATATGTGCAAATGGTTACACCTCAGGAATTGACTGATTATAAAAATTACGGTAAGTTAATGCCTCAGCTGCCACAACGGAAAATGTTTTAAACGTTTTTCTATCATATGAAAGAAATTGAAATTTTTCGTTTACTTTTTTAATGCATTTTAGTCATTAATAAAATCTATATTATCACGAAGCTCAGCAGCAGTACAATGGAACCTTTTTTTTCCATGGGAACTGGTGTTTATATTCCAATATTTTAGTATGCAGTATTCAGTAAGGCACGTATAAATATTTATACTTAATTATCTCATCAAAAATTAAATACTATAAGTTTTATTACAACTATACTAGAAACTGCTATTAATAATTGAATTTGGTAACATTAAAATATAACCTTAGTTGTAAAGCTGGTTTGAATTTCATGCAAAGCTACACGAGGGATATCTGCGCTAGCCGTCCCTAATTTAGCAGTGAAAGAATAGAGGGAAGGACTGGTAGTCAACACCACCCACTACTCTTTAAACTGAAAGTGTGAGCATGTTTAGTGAGATGGGAGATTCGAACCCAAGATCTTCAGATGAGGAGTCAAGCGACCTAACCACCTGGCCATGACGGGCCATTGTCAAAGATGGATGAAGTATTGATACAAAAATTGTATACCAAACTTTTGTACTCCAAATGCAACATTACATGATATGTCTCATGCACTACTTTATTTTATTTTTGACCTTAAACATCAAAACATAGAAAAATAATAAATAAAAATTGCTTTATATAAATGAAATGGATTTTTTGGGGGAAAACATAAATAACTTTTGTATAGGCAGAAGTTAACGTTGTTACATACGGTTGTGTAGCACTGAGACTTGAAAAGGTAATTATCCAAAAATACTAGATACTACACGAGGGCTATCTACACCAGCCGTCCCCAATTTTGAAGTGAAAGACTAGAGGGAAAGAAGCCAGTTAATCAACACCACCCATCGACAATTATTGAGCTACTCTTTACCAAGAAATGGTGAGCACGTTCGATGAGGGGATTCAAACCCATGACCCACAGATTACGAGTCGAGCACCCTAATCACCAGACTATGACAAGCCCTAAAGATGCTAGACTAAGTCAATAAGAACTGAATGTGAAATACTAACCACCAGACCATCTCAGGCCCTCCAGATACTAGACTTAGTCAATAAGGACTGAATGTGAAATACTAACCACCAGACCATCTCAGGCCCTCCAGATACTAGACTTAGTCAATAAGGACTGAATGTGAAATACTAACCACCAGACCATGTCAGGCCCTACAGATACTAGACTGAGTCAATAAGAATTGAATGTGAAATAATAACCACCAGACCATATCAGGCTCTCCAGATACTAGATTGAGTCAATAAGGACTGAATGTGAAATACTAACCACCAGACCATGTCAGGCCCTCCAGATACTTGACTGAATCAATAAGGACTGAATGTGAAATACTAACCACCAGACCATGTCAGGCCCTCCAGATACTTGACTGAATCAATAAGGACTGAATGTGAAATACTAACCACCAGACCATGTCAGGCCCTCC